GTCATCTTTGACTTCTCTACTTGGTGAAGTGCTAGACTGAAAATACATGGCTTATATCTGGTATTTTCCAGTAACAGCACAGGAAATACTCTGTGCTGGGTATAGGTGTGTTGTTTCCCATACCACTATGCCAAGGCTTTGTTTGTGATATATGCCATTTACTGTTCACAGTCCAGACTAAACTACTCCTAGAAGGCAGTTTGGGTATCCCAATCCATATGGACTGCTCTAAAAGACTTAAAAAGTATGAAAACAGTTGTTATGAGAGAAATTTATGCAAGAAAAGTGGTGCTGACTTCTCTGAAGCTAAGACAGTGCTGACCTGACCCGAGGGGGCCAGTGAAGCATCCCTGCTGACTTTGGGCAGGTTCAGGGATGTCTCAAACCCACCATTCTGCCAGGACAGGGGCTGGCACATCCAGCTGGAGCTCAGGCTGCCTGCAGATTCTACCTGTCCTCTGCCAAACAGCAACCAGAAAAAACTAAGTTGCAGGAAAAGACTTAATCTTTGTTTCTTCTATTTATTTTTCCCCTCACTGATCTAAGCTGGGTGCTTTGTGTCTCGACTGAAGAAGGAGCAGTTGTTGGAGACTGGAGCAAACACTTCACACAGGCTGATGCTGATTGTTTCTGTATTTGTGATCAACATTTAAGTTAAAGCATGTGACACATTCAGAGACAAGGTGCTGCTGGAAAAGGAGTTGGGACATCATAGTTTCCAACAAAGATTCCCCAGTCCCCAACTTTATGGGAATGCCTTGTGTCAGGTGCTGTGAGCTGTAGGGACAGATATGCTTGAACCTTAACAGCCCAGGGAGGTGTCTAATCCTTTATTTTTATATATGGCCCTTCTCTGAGCAGGGGCTGGGAGCAGAGACCCCCAGAGGTCTGCAAAGCCTTCTACAATTACTATACAAACAGCATTCCATTTCTATTTAACATTACACAGTGATCTCATGCTGCGTGTTTTTTCCTTTAATTTTCATCTCAGAAATGTTTGCTATCTGGAGCAGGGCAGAGTAATCTGCAAATTCTGTGGAAGCAGGACTGCAGCCAAGCAGAGGTGGCTGTTCTCCTGGAATGGTCTTCCCTATTTGAATTCCAGTTTGGATCAGTTGTAAATACCAGGCTGCTCCCTTGGAATGTAGCTGGAGTTTGCTTGGGGGCTGGTGGGACACTCTGCATTGTGTGCTCTGCCTGTAGCCCCACCAGACCATCCCAAATATTATTCAGATCCACTCCCATAAATCAGCTGTCCTTCCTGGAGAACTGCTGGAATTTTGGTGCTTGCAGCAAGGTCTCATATCTTACGATGCTTTGGTTTGGTGACTCGAGCCTGGATACTCCCTTGGTTTGAAATTAAGTGAAGAATTTCTAGGGGAAGGAGGAGGATGAGTTGTTTCTGGGGGCGCCCATCCCAGGAATGATGAATGGTACAAACAAGTGCTGCCAGAGCTTGCTCAAAGCAGATAATCATTGACTTGCCTGAGGCGTGGAGCACAGGATCAGCCTGGACAGGACTTGGGAGCAGCATCCCAGTGAGAAGGTGGGAGTGTTTGACTCCTTTGCACATGAGAGCAGAAGGAGAGGAAGAGGGAGTTGGGTTTTCTGCACTTTGAGCACCATCAGAGTGGGTCCAAACATGCATGCTGGAAAAGTCTTGCCTTCAGTAAAGAAAAATATTTCAGTCCCATGAGTTTAGAAGGCTACTCAAGAGCAAGGAGCAGCAATGATTGTGCAACCCTGTCAACCTTTCTGTGGGTGGCCAGGAAAGCCAGCTCTGCAGCAGCGAGGGGGCTGGACCCAACAAGGATTTGATTTCATTACAGTTTAAGATGCAGCCAGAAAATACTATGTCCCTGCTATAAAGGAGGAGATATTTACCTTTAAGTACCTTTAGGAGATTTTAGAAGCAAGGAATTGGAAAATGAAATTAATGAATAGAAAGCAATAGCACAAGCCAATATTCACAGAAATGGTATTTACCACTCCTGGATCAAGGCTTATTTTACACAAACATTGGCTGTTATAACAGCTGATATGTCACTGGTGCTTCATACCAGAGGGTCTTGGAAAAAAGCTTTAGGAGACGTTTTCTTGGCTTTTAGTCTTTCTCTGCATTGTCATGTTTTTGCTTAAAATTCAATCATGTGGTGTACAGAATGAAATCTCGGGCATTTCTGAGGAGGGCTGCTCATGGGCAGTTTAAAAAGTGAGGCTCCTTCTGGAGTGTGATGAGTTCCCCTGTCAGTGGATGTGTGCACTCCACAACTAATGGATATAACACACACTGCACCATCAAAAGGGAGCCAGTATCGATTTTTTATTTTTTAGTACACAAGCTGAGACTTCTTAAGTAGGCTTATGTAGTGAGGTCTTTGAGCAACCAGCTGCTTAGGTCTCTGTTGATCTCAAAAAGGCAGAGATGATAATTCTGGTGAGACTTTTAGAGATCCAAAATTCTAGAGTTTTCAGTAAAGGAACATCCACTTGATTTTTCAAGATAGCACTTAAAATGCAAAAACAACAACTCCTTCCCCCCCCCGCCAAAAATCAACAAATTAAATTGGATTTCACATACAAAACAAGCTATTTACATTTTACCTGGTAAAATCCCAATATATTTTCTTTTCACGGTGTGATTCACGTCCTGACCAGTAAGAGTTGTCTGAGGATAATCTTGGAAGACTAAAAAATTACGACCTCACACTGCAATTACCAGTTAATTTAAGGACACTTAAATAACTACATTAAAATTTCAAGCCAGCTAAATGACACCACAGCTGTTTTCTTTGCCTCCTGTTTTAATGGAACTCTGTCCACAGGGTATCAGCTCATTGGGAAAAACAGTAAAGAAGTAAAAAAAAAAAAATTAAAAAAAGTGCAGACAGCAGTGGTGGAGAAGAGCCATGTGTAAGGTTCTGTGGTAAGGGGAGTTGCCAGACAGATGTGTTTAGTACAGCATTTAAGGGGAGGCATGAAAAAACACAATTATAGTGATCTTAGCTGGCAGGCCACTGACTGGAAAGGCTCTTGTCAGTAAAAATAGCAATAAACACATTAATGGCAGTCCATTGTCTCCTGAAGCCGTGGGACAGGGCTGTGCTAAGAGGGCCTTGTGTTGTTATATTTGCAGAGTATGTATTTAAATAGTAGAGTCACAGCCAAGAAGAGCTAAAGATAGGGTAGTGGGTTTAGCCTTTTGTGCTGAGGGTGGAGCAGAGCCCACAGACACATAATGTGGCCATCCTGGAACAGTATTTTTTTTTAAGCTGCTAATCTTCTAAATTTCTACTGGCAGAAGTGTATAGCCCTGTGTGCAAAGTCAAGCCTGTTGGCAAAAGTCTTGCTTTTCTAAGTTGTCTTCAAGATATCACTGAAAGATGTGAACTGAAAGTACTTCCAAGACAGCCCTGCCCTTTTTCATCCAGAATAATGAACCAACCTTGGAAGTGCATGGAAACAGGGAGATGTAAATAAAAAGGGGTGTGATACATCCCAGTGTGGCTTCTGTGGGCATCTTTCCATACCTGATATGCTCTTATATTGCCTCCTTACTAAAATTATCTCGAGTTTCATTTCCAGGTTGAGAAAAAAGCAACGGTGCAGTGTCTCAGGGCCATCAGTATGGCTTTAAAGTGGCATCTGGCAGGCTCAAGAGATTTTTTTTTTTATCCATTTGTCTAACACATTCTGCATTGTGGCATGTCATTGCCCATGTGTGACCTGTAAATCTGGAGGGGTTCAGAGGTAACCACAGCATCTCCAGTTTTCAAGATGTTTCCTGATTAAACAGACCTTCCCAATTGTCCCAAACAATCCTTTTGCACAAGCAACTTGTGAAGTTGGAGGCTTGCTGCAAAGTCTGTATCCAGGGTTTATGTTGTCTGTTCCCTTTAAAAAAGTAGCATCTGGTAAAGTCTTCCCTCTTCTGTTAAGGCCTTCACTGACACAGAGCCCAGGTGGGATGAGTGGCTCTGTCTGACACTGGTGGGACACACAGCATGTTGCTGAGGCTGAGGCATTTGCCCTGACTGAATTGGAATTTTGGGTCCAGTTAGGATATCTGACTGATGTGCGTGTTTCTCCCAATTAGCTCATGTGACATTTTTCATTCATGTGGCTTCTTGTTATGTATCCATCATGCATTTTCCTTCTCTACTGGAGTGAAATTAGAACAGCCCTTCTCCTGCCTACATCCCTGTGTCAGGAGTAAGTATTTGACATTCAGCCTTCATCCTTCAGGCTTTCCTCCTTTCTTCACTACTACTTTTCTTTTTTAAACTCCTTTTTCCTGTATAAATGAACCAAAAGACAACAGGTAATGAAGTGTATATATAAGAAATAAAATAGTTAAGGTCTCCAGAGTCAGCCTGGATTTGTGTGCAGACTCTAAGGACCCACACTCAAAACCCTGACAACTTTTCTTGAAAAAGCATTTAGGTAAAAGCCTTGGATGAATCTGCACATCTTTCCTTCCTGTCCATAGGTCATGATGTTGAAAGTTCCTTGCATGCCCATGCAGACAAGCAAAATGGTAGGTTGAGTGAAACCATGGAGTTGAGGTGCCAAAACCAACACAGTTCACCAGCCTGAAATGCACTTCCTGATGGAATTACACTAAAAGTATCACCCCAGGAATAAACAGATTGTGGTTTCTGTCCCCAGTCAGGAGGAGATTTCCCAAACGTGGGGTTTAGAGGGCTTGGATCAGAAACCAGGGGAAGTTGCCAGAGTAAGAGAAGAGGAATTACCACCTTCAGCTCTTGCAGCTGTGTGTGTCCAGCCTCCATGTGCCAAGTAGGAGACAAGATTTCCTGCCCCACTTCTATCCCTGCTGGGCAGATGGATGCTTTGTGGGTCCACACCAAAGCCTGCAAGCTCAGGATGGGTGGACTCCCCCTGCCCAGCGTGGCAGGGCAGGCACAGCCATGACTTGCTGCTGTTCCCTTCTCCCCTCAGGAGCCTCCTTTCCCATGCTGTGCTCTTTGTCCCAACAGAACCAGTTTGTGTACCGGGATGGTGGCTACACTGCGGAGGTGCCAATGCCCTACAGGGCTCCAGGCTGCATCATTCCAGAGGCCCCAGCTGCTCAAGGGGCTACAGCAGAGATATTTGAAGACACCTGCTGCAATGGCACGATGCAGAAACAGGTGGCAAGCCTGGCAAAAGAGGACAGCAGCACCCAGAGGTACAGCGCTGACCCCACTGTCTTCATTCCTGAGCGGGTCGTGCGGGGAGAGCTGGATGAGGATGGGTACATGACACCGATGAGAGACAAGCCCAAAACAGGTAAAGTATTGGCTTTCCAGAGGGGCTCCTGGTCTAGCCTGCCTGCATTTATTCTCTTTTTACATCAGCTGCTTCTCATCAAAAGTGGCTTTATTTAGCTACCCATCAAGACCGAAGCATTCTGACTAGGTTAATATACCTTTACATGGGGATTTGGTTTTCTCGCCTTAATTTTCTGCTTTGAAATGCTCAAATGTGCCAGTATGTCAAAGTTGGTAAGTCCTCCTTTTACTTCTTTTTGAGAAATAACAAGAATGAAAAAAAGCCCCTTCTCTTACCCAAACACAAATTTTCAGTTATTTCCAAGGAAAAGATCTCTCTTCAGCCAGCCATAGTCCCAACTTTGCTTTGTTTATTGATCTTATTCTTGGCATTGTGCTTGGTAAATGTCACGTTGAACCTATCACAGAACTGATACACACAGCTGGCATTTTATACCCGAGAGAAGTCTAGGATTGAAAGAACAAGATGTGCTTTAAAGAGGGCATCACTGCAAGGGGAAGATTGCCTAAATCTGTGCCAGCTCAACATGCTGAACTTCCCAGTTTGTCCTCATTCATTTCTTCCCCTTTAAATAATGATAGCATTCATATAGATGTAAGGGGATGTGCCATTATTAATTTGCTACAAAGCTTTGCATTAGCTTTAAAGAAATTAATACATGCAAATGTAAATGACAGGTCACTACTTGTGTTTGCTAAGAATTTGGAAGCCACTTGTCCTTTGTGTCACATGATGGAGGAATGGAGGGAGCCCTGGCAGTAGCAGTGGTTGGAGTCTCCTTTGCAAGTGATTTACTTTCAGTGTGAGCCCACATATATGTGGTCATACAGGTGCACCCTAGGGATCCTCAGAGTTCTGCAGGAGCCACCTGAGCCTTCAGGGATGTGATAGCAGCAGCTCAGGAGAAAGCAGCTCCTTGCTGACACCCTGGACACAGACACAGGGTTGTGGCCACACACTGTGTGTTCCATGCCAGATGCAGGGTGCAAATCAAAGCACTGTTTGGCTGTCATCACTAAAAATAATAGCTCCCACTCTTCAACTCCTACTCAGTGACATCTTAGCTGCGGGTTCAAAGATGTTCACTGGGTCTTGAACTTTTGCCTTTCATAGTTTTGGCCCCCTTTTGGACAAAACCAGATAATCCCTTGCACCAGGGCTTTCTCTGGAGTTGTATGCAGAGCCCTTGAGCAGCACCATGCTGCTGGAAATGGGGTCTTAAATCCACAGCAAGTGACTTGAGGCAACTGTAACCTGCTCCAAGTCCCATTTTGCAGCTGATCTAAGGCTCCCTTGTTCCCTTTCCAGGGCTCATTTGTATAATTTTTTTTCATAATGCTTCAAGGCCCTTTGTCCTTCAGGGATGGAAGGTTTTTAATCAGGCAAATTGTTCTGTTAGAAATGAAGCTGTCCTAAAAGTTAGCCCTCGGGGATAGGCTTTGTGCAGAGAGGCTGAACTAAGATGCCTGTGGAGTTTTCTGGATGGAAGGACTGCAGAGCAGAGGGTTTGCTAACAGGTCCAAGGCTGCAGAGGCAAAAGTTGGTCAGTGTGTTTGGGTCTGTAGATCAGACAGTGGGAGGGAGTCCAGGGGAGCACATGGGCTGTGGCTCAGTAAGAGCTGTAGTTTAGTTGGCCAGTGTGTGTGGGCACACACATTTAGGGAACTAGGGAATTACAGCTTGGAAATTCTTTTCAGGCCTGGATTTCTCCTGACTCTCAGCTCCATTCCCAGGCTGACAAGCTGACTGCAGCTTCAGTTAGGGAGGAGTCTCCCAGGGTGAGAACATGGTGAAAAACAGAGTAGAATTCATAATAAAGATTAACACCTGGTGTCTTTCTTGTGGGATACATCCTGAGGTGCTGTCCCAAGGTTGTTTTTCCCAGTTTCCAGTGAACTACTGTCCTGTCCTAGCTGCACATAACACACTTTAAATACGGGCTGTCCATACAATAAAGTTGGCCTTTTTTCCCCAAAAAGAAGTCCACGTGTGTTGCTGTCCTTTCTCTCTCTTTGCAGAGCAGTAACCACAGTGTGTTTGATAAATCAGTCTTCCAAGGTATCTGTTTTAACCCATATTATCTGTTTAGCTTGTAAATACTTCATTTTACACAAGTGTTTAACGCAGTTGGCTCCTGATCCCATTTGGAGTTCTTGGAAAGGCTGAGGTGGAGGGTGCTCCAGTCCAAGGGCTGCTTCTGGTCACGGGATGCTGCATGGATGGATCACTACCACTCCTGGCTGACTCATTTTTTTATCTTTCTTTAGACTACCTAAACCCAGTGGAAGAGAACCCATTTGTTTCCCGACGGAAGAACGGAGATCTCCAAGCTGTGGACAACCCAGAGTACCACAACACTCCCAACGGGCAGCCCAAAGCAGAGGACGAGTACGTGAACGAGCCCTTGTACCTCAACACTTTCGCCAACACCTTGGAAAACGCCGAGTACCTGAAGAACAACTTGCCAGAGAAAGCCAAGAAGGCCTTTGACAACCCAGACTACTGGAACCACAGCCTGCCCCCACGGAGCACCCTCCAGCACCCGGATTACCTGCAAGAGTACAGCACAAAATACTTTTACAAACAGAACGGACGGATCCGGCCCATAGTGGCAGAGAATCCCGAATACCTCTCTGAGTTCTCCCTGAAGCCTGGCACTGTGCTGCCCCCACCGCCCTACAGACACCGGAATACCGTGGTGTAGTGGCTGTGCTCTCACTCAAGTGGAAAGGCAAACCCCTTCTAGCTGCCTCACTCGTACTCTCTCACTCCCCCTTTCTCCCTGCCCTTGCCCGTCCTTCCTCCCTCCCTTCCCTCTCTTTCTCCCATGAGCTTCCTCTTCTTGCCAGTTCACTCATTTTTGATATTTCTAAGTGAAAGGATGTCTTGGAGTTGGTTGCAGATTGGGTTGGGAACCTGGAAGGAAGGAAGGAAGGGAAGAGACTGAAAGAAGGAGTGTACAACCTGGCCTTTCCCACTTTCAGCAGATGCAGGGGGTTGGATGCCCAGAGAAGCCAGGTGGTACCAGGACAGGCCAGTGGCAGTGCTGCTGTCGAGCTCGTTCACAGTGCTTCAACCAGACACTGTAGGGAAAGCCACAGAAAGGCTGATTCCTTCAGCAGGAACTGATGAGGGTCTGTACAGCATTCCTGGAAATCTCCATGCAATTTCCATCAGGGCGAAAAATGGACAATTTTTATATCCTGTGTGATAGCGTAGTAATTGAGATTGAGAATCCAATTTCTTTCTCTAACAGTTTCTATCCCAGCAACTGGAAATGGCTAACACAGCTTTTCAAAAACATTCAGATCTTCATTGTGGCTTTCCAAGAAATGATGATGTGACTCCCACATACAGCTAAACCCTTCTTCTGAGCCACACCATGATTTCGTGCCAATTCCCAGCCACAGAGACTCCTGCTCAGAACTGGTACCTGACATGACCATTTTTGTATGTGTGCCAACACAACAAACACTTCAAACACAAAATATCATTCAGAAGTGAGTAACAAAACCACACCTCCAATATGTTCCTTTTGAAGCTAAAAAATCGGGCCAAGAAATGAAGATTTGTATGCCAAAAGCTTTGCTTTCCTGTTTTATACCTGCTGATTATAACCACTTCAAAAGATTGTCACTAATTCTTCCCTCTTTTTCTTCTTCGTGGTCATGAAGGGAGCTGGGGATGCTGTCAGGCAACACTGAGGACAAGACAGAGAGCTGAAGAGTCTGATGTTCTATGGGGTGGGGTGGGAAGGGTCCTTAAAACTGGAAGACAGACACTGGACTGGAGAAAACGCACATAGCGGTTCACTGGAAAGTTAGTTTGCACTTAACCTCTGATTTTATTTGAACTGTTTTCTGGATTTTGAATGAAGCAATATGGAAGTGACCAGCAACATACAAAAATAATAATTTTAAATTAAAAAAAAAAAAAAGAAATATAAATTATTTGTAAAGGGTGACTGTGGAAATGCCAAAACGAAGCAAATCAAGTCTTTGGAACAATGTGTGCCACTTGTGAGAGGCCGATGCAGTGACTGCTTCAGAGAATACAGTGACAGAGCAGCCAGCTCTTCCTGCTGCTCTGTCAAGGACAGCAGAGCAAGCCCTGGAAAGGATCAGGGGAGGCAAATGTCCTGCTCTGGCTTGCAGCACAGCACAGAATACCATTTTTCTAAAAGGAGGATTACTCTGGCACAGAAGACAGTGCATATGAGGTTTGAGAAGTCAAAATGTGCATGATCTGCAGAGCTTTCTGTCAAAAATGTAAATAGGTATGAGTCAGTCTCCTTGCACTTAGTTCTGCTTTTATCAACCTCAGTTTTTAGGTAACACCCCCTGACCTGCTCCTCTTTGGAAATCTCTTTCAAACCAGAGTTCTGGACGTTTTTAGTGACCTGGGGCAGATGGAGCTGGGAAAGGAGGCGTAAGGGCCAGAGACACCAAGGCTTGCTTCTGGCACACCAAGACCGTGTGTCAGAGCATTTGTGAGCCTACTTCCCACCAAACGTCTTAAGGAACTATTAAGGAACCTCTGGAGATCTGCCTGTCTCTGTCCATCAGGGTTTTAAAGGGAAGAAACAATACCTGGTGGAGAGCAATGTCGGGTGATGCAACAGTATTTCAGTTTATGCACCTCAGCTCTGCTAGGGCTGAGATCTTTGGGGTTACCTAACCTGGCAACAAAACCAGCTACAGCCAGTGGTCTGGAAATGGCATCACCCTCCTCTAAATCCCTACCATTCCAACAGCTTGCCACCTTTAATCTTAGGGAAGCAGAGGAAGGGAGTAAGAAACAAGCAATAGTTACCTGAAGCTTGGTGGCTGCGGGTCAGCTTGACAAAGGTGTGAAGAGATGTTAAACCTGGGTTGGTTGTTACCCTTGTAGGTGGAAAACAAACAGTGTGTGATCACAAGGCTGGTTCAGCCAGCGAGCTGTTTGTGCACCAGGTGTGCCCAGGCCAGCTGCAACCAGGTGTGCATCAAGCTGAAGGTTCTGAAAGCAGCAAGAACAGGTACAGTACACAGCTGAAGGTTCTGAAAGCAGCAAGAACAGATCTTTGAGCTGTTCAAAGGAGATCTTGGGTCAAGTGGTTTGTGGTGGTGAGACCAAATGGCCAGCAGAGCTCTGTCATGGGACAGATGGGTACAATCCTGCACTGAGGGGACTCTTCTGGTGCCTCTGGTGGCTCCTTACCATTTTAGTGGGACAGAGGCACACACAGAGGGTGGCCTGGATGGCTGCTCCAGGGAAGGTTTGCCCACAGCAGTGCTCACAGGGTGTCACCTGATGCACAGGTCAAGGGACAATGCTGCCAAGCTGCCAGGGGACAGAGACCAGCACAGGAATGTGGGTGTCCCATTTCAACACTACCATAGGTAGGTGGAGAAAGGCTGATTTATCCCTGAACAAGTCTTGTGACAGAGTAACTCCTAATGGAGAAAAAAATGTAAAATAAAATGCTGGCACAGCTCACATGTTTGAATTCAGAGATGAGCTCAGAGGCTGCTGGGCAGAGGCAGGCACTCTTCCAGACCCAGGCACTGGGATGGAGCTGCTCACAAAAGGTGAGGCCTGTTTGTTCCTCTGGTGATGAAGTAGTGCTCATGTTAGAAACAAGCCCATGGAGTAATCCAAATGTAAATACTGGAGGGGTTTAACAGTTTAACATTTTGTTTCTTACAAGGCTTGAATTATTTATTAATTTTATTTGTTGACTGTGGGTGTGCTATAATATATTAAGTAGCATGGAAATGCAGATGTTCCTGCAAGTGGGGCAGCAAGAAAGCTGGAGCAGGAGCTTGGGCTCTGCCTGACAGCCAGGATGAGCCATGCAGAGCCATGCTAGTGGGGTTTGGGATGGCAGAGGACAGGCAGAGGCTTAGTGAACACAGTGATTTGGGATGAGGGACAACTCCACACACTGCAGCCTCACAATTTATTTTTTTTTTTGTTATTATTATTTCCTGAGCTTCTGGCTTGAGTTGCAGTTGCACAAACTGGCCCTTGGGTTCCATGCCATGCCAGTCACTGCCCCTTGCCCAACAGATGGGGCTGTGTGGTGCTGAGAACCAACCCGGGGAGCAGCATTATCTGAACCCTGCCCCTTTCCTCTGGAAGAGAAGTTCTGAGCTTAGCTGGCAGGTTTTACCTCTTTGCAACAGTTAGTTTAATCACAGCTAAAGAAAAAAAGAAAGAGAATGTGGGAGCAGAACTGTTTGGCTGCTTTAATCTGATCAGCAGAAACACTTGGCTGTCCTTAACTCCCACCTTTGCCTTCCTGGGTGTTGCTGCTGGCTTGGGGAAAGAATTTGGGCAAGTATTCAGCTGGAATTCATAAAGGATGAAAGATAAGGGCCAAACTCTTTAGTGCATAATGACAGGTTTGGGGGAAAAGCACATATATCCACACACAAAGTGCATTTTGTCAGCACAAAGCAGCAGGTGAGGATATCAGCAGAAGTACTTTGGGTGTAATTCACTCTCTAATGCCACAGAAGTGTCTGTACACAGCACACTTAGATTTTGTGGGTTTTAGAATGCAGTCTCTTGTTTATAAATGTTCTCCTTCCTGCTGTCATGGCCTGTGTGATGGGAGAGCAGTGCCCAGATTTCCAAGAGCACGTTTTTACCCAAGTGTGGATCAGCCGTTGTCCAAGGCACAAAGGAACGTGCTAAAGGAAAGAGAAGAACAGCTTATTTCCTCCTGATCTCTTCCAGAGTTACTTACCCTGGCTGTTATTACCTACCCGAGGGTCATTGCAAGCAGACACTGGGGCAGAGTGACTCACTGTAACATAATTGGCTGAAACCAACTACTTTTACATTTACTTCTTCAGATCTTTTCAGATTTTTCTTTTTCTGCAGAACAGCCAGGAGGGATTTTTACAAGACCATAGGCTCAGATGTAGCAGAGTATTTACAACTGTATTTCAAACAGGTCATCTCTCTCAGGTAGCAAGAGATAGAAATAAATCTGCAGTAGGAGCCACCATGTAGGTCTGTTTCAGGTACCCTGAAATCCTCTTCTGTGTGTGAAGAAATGCTGTATTACCCCTGGAGGTACCACTTATGTGGTAGGAAATGTGCTTCTTGATTGCAAGACTCATATGCCATGATCTGACACCTGTTCCCACTAAAGATCTCACCCTCAACCACCACCAATCCCAGCCCAGAAGGAAGGAAAGTGGCAGCTCTGGAAGAGCAGCTCGGCCCTGACTCTGTGGATCCAGTCTTCCCAGAGCTTTAGGTGGAGCTGGGCAGCACAGAGGAAAAGTATGAGTTGTGAGGTGAATCAGCCTAGAAATACAGCTTGGTTTGGGGCATGGAAAATCTGATATTAAAGAAAAAAAATCTTTTTTTTTTTTTTTTTTTTTTTTTTAGTCTAATGGTGTGTGTGTGTGTGTGTGTGCAGGTGTTGCACATCATGGTGGCAGCTAATGGAATGATGGGGTTTGAGCTCCTTTATTCTGTCTGGGAGATGAGGAGAGTGGCACAAGGCAGAATGAGGCTGTTGGTCATGTAATTCCCCAGGATAGCTGGCAGCATCCCCACGAGCTGTGCTTCCCTGGCAGCCCAGGAATGTCAGCCTGGGCAGGAATGTCTTTACAGAAGGGACAGCAGCCACTGCAGCACCCACGAGCACAGCCAGGAGCACTGCCATCCAGCGTGCCAGCCCTTTAGGGAGGAAGGAATGGGAGCACCAGAGGTGCCCGGGGCTGGCAGCTGGGCAGTGCCCACGAGTCAGGGCTGGCTGCTGCCCTCACCCTGCACAGCTCCCACCCTGCTTTCCCACGTGCACTTCAGAACTGTGGAGCTCAGATAGGTGGCTACATGCTTGGAAGGATGTTTGGCTTGAGGGTGACTGGTGAAACAGAGGCTTTAGAATAATGGGAGCCAGGCCTGCAGTTTTCAGTCACCTCTTTGGCTCTTAGAGGGCACCTCAGAGGGGACGATGTCACCCCCATTTCCCTTTGGCCAGGCTTTTTCGAAAGGTGGTGGCACATGAAGTCTCTGCACCTGCTCATTTCCACCTGTCACTTGCTATAGTCACTCCTGTGGATCTTCAGCCTCTGCTGCTGGCAAAACAGGTCATCTGTGGTTATGTCAAAATCTTGGATTTGGGCTTAGGTTGTTATTCAGAAAGCCAGGGCTGGGTGGGGTTTGGTGGCTGACTGTAGTGCTGGTGTTCCATCAAGCAGTTGTCCCACAGAGTAGCCTCAGTGAAGCACCACTGTGTGTGCAGGATTCCCTCTTTTTTATTTTCTGCCTGTTGCTAAGCATTTGTTATAAAGGTGGAAAAGGTCACTGTTACAAATGGGGCTTTCAGACTGGGAACAAATAGCAAATAAAAGGCTATGTGGTTAGAAGCACCACTCTAAAATGTCCAAAAATCACATCTCCATGTTAGTTTTAATGTTATTTTAGCACAGTTTTATTTTACCACTGTGTGGAATAGTGGTTGGTTCTGATGGTAGGCTCCTTGCTCTTGAGGACATCACAGGCAGGTGAGGCTGTTGGGGATGGCTGGGATCTGCCTGTAAGTTTGGAGATTGCAGAGCACTTTGTAGGGAACTTTGTGACTGATGGTGGTGGGACTCAGTGGGGCTTGAACTGTAGCCAGTCTTATCTCCTAACCTTCTGCCCTGGGCACCCTCCAGCTGGGGTCTGTGGATGTGTGAGGGGAAAGCCCAATAGGAAATAAGAGGAATCAAAGCTGGATTTTTTTCGCCTCTTTTTCATTATTTAATTTTAGAAGTGAGCTTTGTGGACCTTGGCAGAGAGAGGTTTTAAGGGGAGTTTTGTAAGGTGTTAGGCAGTGTGATTAGTTATGTCCCAGTTCTTCTCCCCTCACCAATAAAAAAGCCATGAAATCACGCTCCAGGGGTGCTGAGGATGAACCCTGTGGGGTGAAGGTGCATCCTGCCCAGCCCCTCAGGCTGCTGGCTCAGCTGTGACCAGGGCCACCAGTACACGGAGCCATCACTGAGCACTGCTTGCCAGCACTTTGGTCCCCAGCCCAACCTTTGAGCTCTCCTAGGTGGGGGGAAACACTGTATTGTCCATAGCACTCTGAAGACTAAAACCCTTTTGGGATAACCACAGTAGGGAACTGTGAGTGGTATTTTCTAAGTGTAGATATGTATGCCGTTCTTTCGAGGTAAGGTACTCTGACATATGTAGCATAAACTGGTCCTGCTGTTAAATGGGTCGATTATTAACTGAGCAGCTGTGTAGGGGGTAGCTAACTTTGAATGCATGAAATCCCTGTTCCTCTGGACATGGCATGGGGAGCAGGTACTGGCTACTTGTGGGGGTACTTACGGTGGGGTTATGCAAGAGGAAAATGCGGGTGAATGAGATAACTGGTAATTTTTAATAGCATTTTAAAGATGCAAATTGGTAGCCATTCGATACATTATTCACAATGATTTTAATCCCTTCTTTTGCCCAGTTTTTGCTGCTTCCCCAATATTGTAAGCTGGAATGGCTAAAGAGGCATCAGTCCTTGTAGAGGGAAGGGAAACTGAAGGGAAAAGAAGTCTCCTTTTAATAACAGAGATAGCCAAATTTTATTTCCTGACCTGGTGGTCTTGAACCACTGACTTCTCAGATGAGGCTCGAAGTCAGGCCCGGGGTATGACATCACTGTCCCCTTGGAATCAAAGGCTCCCACCTGGCAGGTGACACTGAGCTCCTGGTGGCTCCTGATCGTGGTGCCAGCCCAGAGGAACCAGCAGCACAGGTGGGGTGGTCTGGGTTTCTGTCAATCCTCCGAGTTCTGAAAGAGCCACCACATGAAACAACAATACTTCTGCCTTATGAAGTACCTTCAGAAGAAGAGAAGTGTCGGCGTGTTGGGGAAGACACTCATTTCTTGCAAAGTGATGCATTCAGAGTTAGCTGCCTTTCTGGAACAAAAATAAAAAAAAGAAATTCAATACCTACTGTATGTTACTTTGAAAATGTGAATAGTATTTTTATAGCTTGTTAAAGACACAGCTAGTTGCATTTGTAAATAAGGATAATGTTGCTTTTATTTTCCTTGTGGACACCATTGTTTGGAACATAATTGTCCTTAGGGTTGATTTGTATATAGGTAATTTGCTTGTGATTT